ACTCCAAGGACAGAGCCAGAAACTCACCAAAACTGTAAGCTACTGACCTACCCGTCGCGCCACGGTCACAGTCCCACAGCGTCATCATGGGTCAGGTTCATCTCGATACGTTTATTTTGCATGATTCTTACAATACACTGTTTTACTGGTACATTTCGTGCAATCTTCCAAAGAGGTTCGTTTCTATTTTCGTTTCGCATTTTCATGTGTGGTTCCAGCGTTCGTTGCAAAATCCCGAACAGGGGTCAATCAGTTTGTACGCTGGTTTCACTATCTCTCCGTTAATCCACACGAAAGCCTATGACAGATAGTACTTTTGTGCACAGTTTTGCATGAAGTTACAGCTTGTTTGAATCATTTACAGCACTGACCCATAGTGTTTTTTTTCATAATAGGTTTCAATTGTTAATCTTACATATTATTCAATGTTTTATCTGGATAGGTAGTTTTTAAAAATGATTAGCTGATTGATATAACAGGCAAATGTGTCTCCTCCCGTAGATACGTTACACAAGACATCACAAGCATGTTTTATCACTAACACGGTGTAACATGTATGAATATATTTGTGAATAAGTGGTCTAGTTATTAAAGGGTTTGCAACTAACTTGTTAGGTAAACATTTGACTTGGAAGAAATCACCATATCATTATTCAGTATTGTCGAGCAGGTGCAAAGTACCATACCGCAATTAGCTGCAAACTCTGCACAGCGACTGTTTTAACCCCTATCACTTTGTTACTTTGAGTATCTCTGCTTTTCATAACTAAACCAAATTTGACATGTTTATTGTTAATAAATGAATATTTATATTATTTATCTTTATCTTCAAGCTTTCTCATTAGGTGGAAACATCTGTTAGTAATACTGACCCTGCTGACCACGATAATTATTTACCACTGGCAAAACCTCCTGCTACCCGGTCATCTCCTATAATGGTACCCTACATCTTACAGTTGCCAAGTCTCAAGGATCCACCAAACAATAATGACAAGGCGAATTACATAAAATACTTTTCTCATGACACAACACCAATCTGCTACTGGGATCCGTCTAGCATTTATCTTTCCTATACATATAATATTGATTTCAGGATACACCTCAATCTAATTTCTACACTATTTTACTAAAATCTTATAGCATATTCTATGCTCTCTACACCGTTAGTCCTGTCATTTTCGTAGATTTACGGATTATTCATATGCATCTATAGGAACTTCCGGCTTGCTGTTTTGTTTTCATTATTTAGCTTCCAGGTTTTTCAAATACGCATCTGAAACACTCTTCTGGTGTAAGCCTATCCTATAGCAAGTGTCGGTTTCATGAATCACTTACACCCTCAAAACTATTCTACCTTACCCCAGGTTATGCGTGAATGTCATGGGACATTGTTCTCTTATGATGTACATATTCCCAATGCTAGGATTATCTCTTCTATTTTATTTGGATACCTTTTGGATCACCCTTTACCACTATTATTTTCATCACTCATCGCCCTCCTCCATATACCTGTAAGGAGCGAAACTCTACAACTTCAGAGACCAACATAAGACCAAAGTTCCATTATACTGGACTCTATTTCAATATTACTACCTCAACCAGGACTTTTAATTTCATTTAATTTGATCACTGCGCAGTCCCATCCCTTTGTTTGTTTGCCTTCCAAATTTCACATACTGCTTCTCCAGGGTCAACACTGTATGTTCTAGGCTCTTTGCACTTATGTTACTACTATTCCATTTCTAATATAGGAATACTGTGTCTTGTATATGTTTCTATTTTCAGGGTAATCCGGGTCTTGGACACTTCACTAGTGATGAGACGCTATCACTAGTTCTATTTAGTACATTATTATTTAAATTGTCGACTTGGTGCATATCCTCATTAATTACTAAGGTTAGGGTCCTTATTCTAAATCACCTGCTGGTGGCTTCCCTCATTGCTTACTTTAATGCTACTCTGTTTAGTATACTCTCTTGCCTTACACAGGCCTACTGTCTTTATCTTGAATCTGTTTTCTACCCTCAAGGAGGTCCCAGGTCATTGGCCACATATGGGCTCAGACGACTTTAATAATGCGGTATATGTTACCAAAAACGGGGCTGTCGGGCTCCAGCACAAACACGAGGTCATCTGGCTCAGTGACCACTTACATACTCCTAGTATATTTCATCATACCACTAGATTCATCATTTAGGACTACTGCTTTCACTTGTATCTGTGGTGACATTCTGTCATCAAACTAATATGGTGACCAGGGGTCATGTGACCAAGCTCATGTTTGCTTTTCTTACAGTGGGATAAGCTTTACCCTTTTGAAATGTTAATTGGTAATTCAATACCTTTACAAGTCAGGAAAGAGAGAACCACTTCCCCCTTTCTCCATCCCTCTCTGTTCCTTCTTGGCTGTGCTACTGAGCAGTCCCTTAAGCAGACATGGCCTAATTTCTATCATGGTGAACTGTGAGTGGGATTTTATAAGATGTAGTTGTTATTGTTAGTTAGGTTGTTGTAGCTGTTGTTGGTGGTATAGTTAGTTAGATTGTGTCATTATTTGTATGTTGTTGTTGTTTTGTCTCTGAATAAATATTTGTTAAGGTAGACGGACCAGAGTTTATATGTGTATGCGTACATAATAATTTATAGAGTTTGGTAATACACCACATTTGGCGACCACGAATTTTAGACTTCTACAAAGGTTATTTATGTGGTAATAACACAGTAATAGATAGTCAGATTTATTTTTTGGGGGAGAAAAAAGAAAAAAGTACTTTGTTTAATTATCCTCTGCATGGGAAATCAGGGACTGATTGTGTGTGGAGTCTAGTTTGGGCCTCCATTTTAATTTACAAGCTTGGGCATCAGGCCTCAATTTTGAATATATTAGTTTTTTTGTGTGTTTCAAATACCTGAGTTTGTTGTGTTTTGACTACCATAGCTCAGGCCTAGTATTTTTAAAGTATTGGTGATTAAAGGGGAAGATTGAATAGTTGCACTGCATTGGTACTATTGATGTTTCGGCCATTTTTAATAGCCCATGTGCTGTATTGTCTCTTTCCTGTTGCAACTAACTAGAACTAAACTGAATATATTGTAATTGTTTTTAGATGTTACATTTTATACATTTTGTGGCTTCCCTGCATTCTGAGTTTAAATAGCAAACTGTTTTTTTGGGGGATTATCTTTTGTCTGTTTGAACCATTGAATTCTGGGTAGGAGCATTGTGTTTACATGATAAAGGTATTGGGGCTAATACAGTGTGGTGGCTATTGTTTAGCCAGGCTACATTTTTACACTGGAGTGTGTTTAATAGAAAATGAACAGTTTGTATTTGAGGTAAAGGTGCCTATGTTAGATTGTTATATGGTTGGGAATTATCATTGTGCTGAAGTTTATCCATTTGGGTTATAAGATAATTGTATCAAGGGCATTACTCATACTATGGTTAATTACAGGTTACGGGGGCTCAGGTTTAGGGAATCTACATTAGTTAGATAGGCCTGTCATAATTTAATTAGGTCCACGAACTGGCCCTTTCAATTCACAGGTACATTACATCAGGTATCTATCTCAGGTACGTCAATCTACATGTACTTATACGCTACCATACCCTTCTCCCCTTAGTTTTCTTTGTTACTGGCTGACAGGGCACCAGAAGTCCAATAGTTAATAATTTCACAGGCCTCTACTCCTTCGGTTAGTAGTCCCGCGAGGCCAACACCCATCCTCATACACAGAGGTGCTACACCCATCGGCCCAACGCATAGCTAGTCGCCTCACCTGTCACTCCCTTTCTATCTTATGCGTTAAAAGTCACCGAGAAGCCAACACCCCACCACAACGTTGCACAAAATCCCCTCGCGCCAACGCATAGATAGAGCCTCTCGGCATCTAACAGGGCCTCATCCATCACCAACCAAGTTTAATGATTTCGCCTCTTTGCATTAGCTAGTAAGACAGTACGTCAGGATTGTATTCACTAATTACTTGGTTATTCAAACATGTCTCAGCAACATGAAGGTGGGAAGACCTGGGCCTGCCCACTACTCCTGCTAGGTCCGATACACCTTCACGCAAAGGGTCATAGCTAGCCCTACTTGTATTAGATCTTGGGCTATACCTCGCATCACAGCAGAATGGTTATACAGCACATATGGTACCAACAGCTAGATAACCAAACACCCAATCACATATATACATATGTACCGCAAAACAGCCTTATAGAAGGAAGCATCTGGTTAGAATTAAAATTGTGTCTAGAATTTGGGAAATAACCTGTCCAGTAATTTATTATTCCATAATCCAGATTTAAAGATCTTGCACGTTAATCTGTGATGCCCGCACAATTATACGTTTAAAGCAGTAATGTGGCAGGTACAATGAGGTAAAGGTAAGTTCCTTCTGTTATAGTAACATGTATTACATAAGTCAATATTAAGTACGTGTTCCGGTATGTTCAAGATATCCAACGGCATATATTAACTTTCTGTCCTACTATCTGTTCTTTCCAGTAGTATTACATCTATGATTGAATTCGCATTCAGGGCAAAATCACTACTGATATATTCAGCTGAGGGTTGGCTTCCAAACACTTGTTAGCTCAAATACAATTCGACTGCAATTATCTGTCTAAATTATTATTGTATATGTAAGTTCTGTTCATCCAATATTTGGCTTGATACTGATCCCAAGTTACTTAAAATTTTTGGTTATCCCAAATTGCTACTCTTCTGTTGCTCCACCTACTCTACCTGCAGTTATTTCTCCCATATATATGTTGGTTTTATCACTATGTTCATCATCAATCATTGCTATGTATATGACCCTGGTTTAGTCTAATTGTTTATATTACTCTTGTTCTACAGCATTCCCCAGTCAGCTGCGGTATTAACCCCTCCATTTTGCAGGTTTATATTGGTTAGTCTCTTACATATTTACTACATTTCCTTAGTCATTGTATGGCTCACGTGCATGACAGATTCTAGATTATCAATTGTACACGTTATTCCTTCTCCATGTTATAAGGTATTTCAAATTTGGACCCTTAGTGGTCTCCCAGTGATTGCGGTCACCTAAGTCTCTCTGCTAATTACTAATTTCAGGTCACATGTAAGTGGTCCTTCGTTGCCTCTAGGTTTACCACCACAGGTAAGTCAACAGGTAGCACTCGGCCTTATCACTCCTAACAGGACACACAAACCCTACGTTTTCCTCACTCATTTAACGATACATGGGCCAACAAGAGGCTTGACTTTTGATGTTTGACCCATGCATGGTCCACCCTACTTATACATTCTACCATTATCCCTCAATTACAATACAGGCTCTTCTACAACCCTTTCGTTTACGTATTCCTCTGGCCAAGTATTAGTACAGAACATTAATGCCATTTGCTATCGTTTTGTTACTACGGCTTACTTTTGCCACCTAAAACTTAATTATTACACAACCACAAATATATCTTTTTCATGAAATATGTCAGAACATTAATCAAGAAGACCAGGCCTTCCATTATTCTGGTCACTCTTTGGGGCGGTTTCCATAGGTTCTAGCAGCTTTATCCAAACCAGTTCAAGAAATACGCAATGACTTTAAAGAATGTCTGGATAAGATATATGTATATTGTTGACTGTAGTAAAATGGCACAAATCTATTTTTTGCCCTCTTTATTTACAGGCCCTACCTCATTGTTGGTTCCGGCACACCACAACCGACTTGCCCTTATATTGTAACTACTCATACTTATCTCTTACTCCATATACGGTCTTTTTGCCCCTAACACAAATGGTTATATATAATATATAACTAAGTGTATTTTGATATAATATATACAATATCAATATACGCTGATATTACATACATTAAAAATGTTATGTATATAATTATATATTATAAGCCAATTAAAACATCTGATTATTATACATATCTAATTTAATTCTAAGTGTATTTTGGTATTAATATATACAAAATACACACATATACCAAAATACACTTATTTATATATGTATAATATGCTATACAGATTTAATTTAAAATATATTATACATGTATATTATATTTTAATGTTTGATTCTAACTTTTTCAACTTTACAGGCATTAGGAGGACTGCCTGAACACTCAGGCAGTCTGATAGACCGCTATTGCGGCCATGTGACTGCGACGTACGTCGCAATCACGTGGCCACGGTGTGCCGAAATGGAAGCAAGGGACCTGCCAGTCTCCTGAGGAAGTCCCCCCGGACAGGGATAGTCGGTGCAGGTAAGTCTGTAAGGACAGGGGAAGGTAATGATCATTAGGGCGTACTATGCCATCCAAACACTGTTTAGGCTCACTAAATGTGGGATGGCATAGTACTCCCTAACGACGTTAAGATGTTAATTTAGGATTTGCTTTTCCATGGGGAGGTCTAATGTGCACTCGCCCGGGGAAGGAGGCGAAGCAGCGACATCAACACGGAGATCAAGTAAATGAAGGGTTTTTAACACACTATTCACAAACATTTTTTGACTAGTGTGCAATTTACTATGTACACTGGGGAAGACTATACAATATTAAAGGGACACTGTACTCACTATAATTTCAGTTTACTATAACCATCCCATTTCAGCGTAGTTTAACACGAAAATGGATCCATGGCAACCAACAGACCAGCCTCTTCTAGAGGTGTAGCTAAGGCAGAGATTACACTTCCTTGTAGTCACACGGCGCTCTGACAGGCTAAAAGCTGACACTCAACCATCTAATCATTGCTTTTCAGGCTAATAGTTCATTAGCCAGAGCAGAAAATAGTGATGTGCTGCTGGGGACTATCCTTTAGCATTAAACCAGTTTAATGCTGAATGAAATTATGGCACCAGGGCATGACAGACACTATAACCAGTTTAATGAGATGAAGTTACCACAGTGCCAAAGTGTCCCTTTAACATAAGAGATACTATAATGCCAGGAATACAAATCTATATTTCTGGCACTATTGCACCTCCAACCCAGTAAATAAAGTGTTCAAAACTAATTTACTTTCCTTATCCCAGCAAATATGTCCCTCAGTGGGTTGAAACTCCTCCACCCTGTGATGAGAAGGCTCTAACACACGTTAAACTTCCCCATAGGAAAGCATTAAATCAATGCTTTCAAGAGGGGAAGGGTGGAATCTGTTACTGTAGGTCCACATGCAGGGAGCCCTCTAGTGGCTGCCTGGTAGATGCTGGGGCAGACTTAGAGCTGCAATGTAAACACTGTCATTGTCTGGAGTTGCAATGTTTAACATTACAGCACTAAGTGCAAAAGGAACACTGCACCCAGACCACTTCAATGAGCTGAAGTGGTCTGTGTGCCTACAGAGTCCCTTGAACAGTCTCAAACAATTGCTGACAGTCCATATTTGCCATTATACAGACAACCAGATGAAAGCTGGCGAATTTTCCTGCACACAGTTCTGCTTTCCAATAGATTTTGCCAAAAGCAAGTGTCCAGTAATGGCAAAATAGAAGTCACTGATAACAAAATGCGGTTGGAGTCATTTGTGATTATTGCACTGCTTGCTAGTTTCCAAGCAAGAATTAACAGTGTAGAGATAGGTGTTCTAAAATCCACCCTCACAGCTGCCAATAGGACTGTTCCCCCAGACAGAAAAATTGAAAGCAAACCATGCACCTGTTTCAGCACAAGGCAATTTCTCCATGCAGTAAAGTCTTCATTTGATGCCACTCTATTGCCAGAAGGGAAGTATGTCAGGATGGCCAGTTGTAGGGGAGAACATGGGCAGCATCAGATGCCATGTTTGCACAGTTTATTTTAGCCATTTGGAACTCTTATTCTGGGCTGGCAAATGACAATACTAAACAGACTCCAGGCACCATGGCCACTTCAAAAAACTGAGCAAACCTTAAAACCTTTGAGGGGGTGGGGCCTGACAGCCAAGATGGCCAGCCGCACACGCTGAGAGCTCCTGCAGCAACAGGCAAGAGCGCAATGTTATAACTTAAGGACCACTCTAGGCACCCAGACCACTTCAGCTTAATGAGGTGGTCTGGGTGCCTGGTCCAGCTAGGGTTAACCCATTTTTTCATAAACATAGCAGTTTGAGAAACTGCTATGTTTATCAATGGGTTAAGCCTTCCCCTATTTCCTCTAGCGGCAGGCTCATTGACAGCCGCTAGAGGCGCTTGCGTGCTTCTCACTGATTTTCACAGTGAGAGCACGCCAGCGTCCATAGGAGAGCATTATGAATGCTTTATGTGACCGGCAGAATGCGTGCGCATTCAGCCGAATGGGAGGAGAGCTCCCCGCCCAACGCTGGAAAAAGGTAAGTTTTAATCCCTTTCCAGAGCGGGGAGGGGGTCCCTGAGGGTGGGGGCACCGTAGTGCCAGGAAAACACTAGTAGTATAGTGGTCCTTTAACGTGAGGAATACAGGCGGGACACCCCACGAATGCATATATATATTTCTTTGCACACAAAAAAAAATTCACAAATCTGGCCACGTAATCCAGACTACATATCAAATAGAGGTTACACAAGTGTAGTTTACCACTATTAAGCTTCCTGTCCCAGCATGCCATTTTTGGAAGGCTGCCACAGAATATGATGAAGACACTTAATATTTTAGTCTTAAGGCATGCACCTGCAGTCTTCACTGCTCAGTTATGTGTCACCACTGTGTTTATGAAGCCCTACCAACATTTCTGACTTCTACTTCATGTAAAAGGATTGAGAAAAAAAAAAAATTAAGCTTTACTGTAGTGTCTAATTTCACTTGCATCTCCGGCTTCTCTCCTGTGTTTGAATAAATTTCAATTAACAGCAGGAAAATCACTTTTAAAGTAAACACTGCACTGAGGGAATCTGATTTAAAAATGATATTGTATCCCATGAGGTGTGGGTACAGCAGCAACAGTTCAGTTTTAATGGCAACGAGTTTAGCAGAATGACTGCAGTGGTTTGATCTTTACACTAACACTTTAAAGTTAAAGTGCCCTTTAAAATAAAATATATATTTTTATATAGACTCCAAGCACCATAAGGGCATAGTAGGGCAAGTAGTCAAGCCATTAAACAGGACTACAACTGCTGTATTCTGGATGCCAGTTTACCTTGCTGTGCCACCTAGATTTAGCTTGTGCAGAACTCTGAGCTTCAGAAAAGGAAGCTAGGTTGGTTGTCAAACCTTTAAATGCTTTATCCATTTATAATGGGAGATCAATCGCAACATAACCACTTCAGACTATATTGGTTATTATAGTAGTACAAAGGCACAGGTAAAGTTTCTTCAGTTACTAAACGTTAACTGAAAATTCCTTAGTTATACAAACACTGAAGATTTGCAGCATGTACTTTCCAAAAGAGTCAATACAAATCCCTTTAAAAACCACAAACCACACCATTATTTATATTGAGACCTTTATTAATAGATGCTTGCATTTTGTTGACGTTGGAAAAAAGAAAAATCAGGTGTACGTTTATTACAAATTAAAAATGAGGTTCTTAAAAATCTTAGTTTGACCAGATAGGAAACAATTTAAAAACCTTTGAAGGTACATTGTGAAAATATGCTTTTAAAAAATTGCTATTCCCAAAAGGAGAATTTAGATAAAAAATAAAAGTCATTCCTGCAAGATTCTATGCAGGATGACATCTGGTCAACAGCAAAAAGCAAGCACTTAGGTCTTCAGTTCCAATGTCTTTGTTCATTTCTTATTGCTGGAATTTCACTCTTGACTGATGACAAAACTAAGAAAAAAAAAATAAGAGGGAACATTTAATATTGCATAGACTTTTACTTGCACCCAAAAAGATTTATTCAAGTTAGTTTAGAATTATAACGTGCCTTCAGATCCAATGAACCATACGAGTTCCATATCTGCAAGACTACTCTGAAATCTCATCCATCTTTTAAACTTTACAACTAGAAGTTTTAACAGTGTTACTAAATGACGTTTAAGAGTCGACTAACCCGGATGGTGGTAGAGTATGTAAGCCGGTATTTATTCAGCCCCGCCCTGCTCAGCCTCGGGAGCGGACGTGTTCTCAGCTGATGTTTCGGCTGCCTTGGTCTCTTTACCATCTTGTGGTTTAGGGTTTTCTGGGCGTCTGCGTCTGTAGTTAAAGTTGCGGCGGTACCGACGTTGAGGTGGCTGCTGACCCGGGGAAGCATCCCCTTGATTCTCTTTATCTTCTTCATTTCCATCTTCTCTGGGTTGTCTCTGACGAGGGGGTCCCCTATGGGAAAAATATAAAAATAAAGTTTGGGAATGTACTTTTTTTTTTTTTAAAGACACAGCACACAGATCTGGCATGAGAAACAATAGTTACCTGCGGAATCTTGGTCTGAATCCTCTGTACATATTTTGTCGCCCTGGTCTGCCTTGGTCTCCTGCTCCTTGGTTTTCTACCACCTAGAAGGTATGAAAAGTGACCAGAGTTAAAACTCTTTGTAAGTTTGACGAGTCAGTAAAGCAAGACATTGACTCAAGTTGCAAGTCATGCCAAGATAGATCAGGTTCAATAAGTTTGTGGGGGTATGGAGAAACATTTCTACATCCACAAGTCACTGTAGAAGACATAGCACCAGGAGAATCATACCTCTACTCCTTCACCCGGGACAGGATTATTTGAATACTGTGGTCTGCGTCCATAAGGTCTTCGCATGTAGTATGGTGGGTAACGCCGCCTACGGAATGGGCGTTGCTGATTAGGACCTTCTCCTTCAGGTGCACTCTCAACTTCTTCTGGTTTCTCTCCACCCTCATTGTTTGGATAATTCTGCTGGTAGTTACGTGAAGGACCTCTACGACGTGGATAACGCCTATAATGATTACGGTCTGCTGCATATTTACTGCCTTGGACTGGAACACCACCAGGGCCAGTTACATTAGCTGCTTCTGCACCCTGCAAGAAGATTAAGGGTCAGGTTTGTATTGCATCAATAGAAGCATAGTAGTAAATAGATTGCAAAAGTATTTTATTTGAATGACAAACAGGCCATAGTACAGTCTTGTTACAGCAGGGGAAGCAATTAAGTGCTTCTCTACCATCTGTGATCTTTACATATTCCTCCCTCAGCTGTCACTAGTGATGTGGGAGGGAGATTTGATGGTAGCTACACTTATGTCAAGCATGGTTTATAAGACTGTACTCCCTACTTTGACTACATATTTTGAGTCATTTAGTAAAGGTAATTCACTGACATTTCAACAGTCAAATTATAGAAGACAAACTTTGTAGTGTATATTAATTCTCCAAGTTCACAAAAAAAAAAAAATGGGGGAGGGCTTGCTCTAGGAAAACTCCAGTAGGATTCACCATAGACAGTGTTGTACTGGATATTATTCAGTTGGACAAAGTTTGTGTTCTAAATGCCAATAGAACAGGAAGATTGGTTGAGTTTCTCCCTGGTCTGAAGAGTGAGAAACTCAAGAATCAGTTTTCACTGCATGTATGCCATGCATAAGTTTACAAAAACTAAATTAAATCAATTTTCAAGCAGATTAGGTTGTAATGCATTGTGCATGTTTCAGGCTCACAGCAACACTGACCATCTTCATAATAAGATGCTGAGAAGTATATTGATTGCCAATAAAAGCATGCAGACTTTAGTACTGCAATTCTATAACTCATTTATATGTTTGTTTTGGATTTGATTTTATCAACGACATGTCTGTTGTGACAAAGATTAACATTTCTACAGATATGTCAATGTTACAGTAAACACAAAATGCATCCTTGCAAAATGCCTGTGAATCCACCTTTGATTGATGTTAGCCTTGTGACATTTAACACCCCCCCCCACCCACCAATGTCTCAGACTACTAAACAGATCTTTTCCTGCCAAGAATTTGTAGTTGCATGGCTGAATGAAAATGCCATCTATGATTTCAGAAGGAACAGTTACAGTTTGACTAAAACAAGATTTATGCAAACATCAGCCTCTAAGAAAATTCACCTTTTCACCTTCTACTACATCGAATTCCACAGTCTCTCCATCTCCAACACTGCGAAGGTATTTTCTAGGGTTGTTTTTCTTGATGGCAGTCTGCAAGACATAATTTGCATTGTCTACATTATATGCATTATAGTACATTACCTCAGTGGTCAAATATATAGTTTAAGAAACTTGTGTTGGCTACAATATTTAAGCACTCACCTGATGTACAAACACATCTTCTTTTGTGTCATTCCTATGAAGAGCAAAGAGATTTTTAATTAACATTTTAATCTAGTCAGCTATCTGTGTGAAATATGCTCTTCATAACAAACAGCAATAAGGAGCTTGAGTCATGTTTTGTATATTATGACAATCAAATAATTTATTTTCTTTTTTAAGTCTAACAATTAAGGCCAAATGCAACATTACTTTAAAATGTCAAGCTTCACTCCCAACTATAAAACAATGCATTATAGAGGTCTTCCATTGAGCTCACTAAAATAGTGGTGCAACAATGCTGTTAACACAGATTAAAGTATCAATCTAATTTTAAAACTCCACCTCTTAACCCAAAATTTAAATAAAACAGCAAGTTTGACAGAATGGGAAAGAGGCATAGACACCAGTTAGTTGATGTTCCAGGAGGGATAAGCCAAATGGCAAATGATTTAGGTAAACTAGAAAAATGGTCAGAATTGTGGCAACTGACATTTAATGTGGATATGTGCAAGATAATACATCTTGGACGTAAAAACCCAAGGGCAGAGTACAGAATATTTGATAGAGTCCGAACCGCAACATCTGAGGAAAGGGATTTAGGGGTGATTATTTCTGATGACTTAAGGTAGGCAGACAATGTAATAGAGCAGCAGGAAATGCTAGCAGAATGCTTGGTTGTATAGGGAGAGGTATTAGCAGTAGAAAGAGGGAAGTGCTCATGCCATTGTACAGAACACTGGTGAGACCTCACTTGGAGTATTGTATGCAGTACTGGAGACTATCTCCAGAAGGATATTGATACCTTAGAGGGTTCAGAGAAGGGCTACTAAACAGGTTCATGGATTGAGGGATAAAACTTACCAGGAAGGGTTAAAGGATCTTAACATGTATAGCAACATTTAAATATATAAAGGGAATCAACAGTAAAGGAGGAGACTAAAAGAAAAGCCACAACAAGAGGAGTGGCTTAAATTAGAGGGACAAAGGTTTAAAAATAATATCAGGAAGTATTACTTTACTGAGAGGGTAGTGGATGCATGGAATAGCCTTCCAGCTGAAGTGGTAGAGGTTAACACAGTAAAGGCTAGCACTATAAGATAAGGCTAGGGACTAATGAAAGTCTTTAGAAAATTGGTCAGACTAGATGGGCCGAATGGTTCTTGCCTGCCATCACATTCTATGTTTCTATGTTTAGTTTTCAGACACACTCTTCCTAGAAAGCTGTGCACAGTTCTGCAGTATAGGGCCACTTTCATAAAAGCATGTTGATAAGATGCTTTCAGCAAACATGCCAACTTAATTCAGCAGACAACCAAGCCAGCCAGGCAAACAGCTTACCTGTTAATAAAGCCATATCCATTTCGCACATTAAACCATTTGACAGTCCCCAAAACCTTGGTTGCTAGAAAAGAGAAAAAAAAAAAGTTTGATGACCCAATAAATTTAGGGTTATTTGCTAATCTCAACTGTAGTGACATTAAAAAACTAAGTGGCAAAGCTATGGCTAAAATGGTAATGCTGTGACTGACTAGTAAACATTTGGCCATTTAGACTTTTCTATAATTCATGGTTTACAGAATAAGAAAAATGGTAACACCATACGGGACAGCCATGGTTAACAGCCCACACTGTACATTTTCACAAGATTGAATAATTAGTGCTAAATAAGTTTCAGCATTTAGAGTAATTGAGTCTGGGGACAGTGGTACAATGAGTTCCAGTATTTGGCATACTCCATCATATTTGGATATTTATGAGAGACATGAAGCCACTTTATTTTAATCCATATGAGCAGATCTGAATTGGACAAGCTGCAGAGTAGACTTCCCTAGTCTCCTGTAAGCTAAACACCAAGATTAATTATTTTTCAATCCAGCTTCATTTTAACGTTTAGTAAGTCAAAACTAAAGAACTAAAGTCAAGTTATATTTGCGGGTTTGTCTCTAAAAAAAAGATCGTAGCCAAATGAAAAAAGGTAGACAAAATATTTAGACTTTGCAAAGTGTTTCTGGATTTAATACTTTGCCAAGTATTGCAAACCAATCTCAATGCATTGTTTAGTAAGTGAACTTGTTTTAATTAAAAAAAAATACCAGAGATCAATACTGAAATGAGTCTATAATATCAGCCCTCATACTATTACAGCAGCATCGGGCGACCAGATCTCAAGACTTTAGTAAAATAAGACATTTCTGATCCTTTGCGAATGTAAAACAAATAAAAACTGAACGTTAATAGAGTTTAGCATGCTTATTATGGTGGAGATCGTGAAAGCTGTTGTAGGCCAAGGCAGGCCTTGCAGGATTAAGGCTGCAGCCTTCCGGTGATCTGCACTAATGGGAAAAAAAAATACGCAAAAAGATATACTAAAAAAAAAATAAAAAAATAAAAAAAAAAAAACACCCAGAAATAAAAATAGCTAAAGAGAAGTATTTGTATCGAGACAAGCAATGATTTCACCATAAAGCAGAGCGCAGCAATCACTCACTCCCTAGAAATCACTACCGCTCCACCACGTGGCTGGCCGCCTGCCAAACCACAACCCGGTCTACCTTCCTCTATAGGCCCCAACCTGGGCAGCCCCCTGACAACCCCGATCTATGAGGCGACACCCACCAAGACAGTAGGTACTGTGTGTTTAAACTGCACCAACACCGCCCAGGTCATGGCTGGAGGCCGACAAGCTGCGCTATGGACCTCTGTAGCAGTAAGGAATAGCAGGCCGCAGGCGGCGGACATTTTGAGGCCCCATTCCCCCTTACATAGAGGGAGACAGGCACACATAGGAAGCGGTGACGTCACGCGGGGACCTCGGAGATGGGAGGGGGGTTAGGAGGGCTATATGGAACGTTGGCCACGCGTAGCATCTCGCGCTCCCACGTCCGACGGTTAAACCGCCTCAGGGCCACGCGGGCAAGCCGACTCCCTCCCAGTGAGAAAAAAAAAAAAAACCCAACACTACCACCCCCTCCCTCACCGGATATTGTTAAGACGTATTAAAAATAAAAATAAAGCCAGGCTGTCCCATAGCACCAAGGCCGTCCGCTGTCGTCGAACTACAATTCCCAGCATGCCCTGCCAGCCTTCTGGGAGTTATCGTCCGACGATAGCCAGACGGCTGCAGCGGCGAGCCCCCAGTCCTCCCTCAGGCGGCATTAAACCCTGCGGGGGGGGGTAGCACTTACCGATGACCTTCTTCTCTCCCACAGTGGCCACCGGTTCCTGGGCGGGCTTGTTCTCCAAGGCGGCTGGCGGCTGCTGCTGCTGTTGCGGCTGTGTTTCGACCTCGCTACTCATGGTGGTGATTAATGGATGTTTTAGCTTTCAAAGGTGTTGACTTCGGGCCGGCGGTGGCTCGTTCTGTGACCTTTTATTCCCCCTGGGTGTTGATGGTAACTCAGGCCGGCGGTGGGGCTGGTGCCTCCTTCGAGCTCCCTGCTGTCCGCTCTCCGCTCCCGCTACCGATCGAACTGCCTAGAATGACGTGACAGACTGGTTAATCAGCGCAGACGGCCCGCCCCTCCGCCGCAGTGGTTGGAAGAGCCTATTGCCAATCCAGTGTTCTGACCGCCTATTGGCCGAGTCGCTCGTCAATCTGCAGGCGGCCGGTTAGGATTGGACAGTCCGATCCGCGGACGAAACCTATTGGTTTAGGAATTTGTCAATCACCTGACTTGGTGGGATTAGTCTCGACCATGGCCTCAGACGGCTCCATTAACTGTCCAGAATACTAACACAGTGCAGGGGGGAGGGGGAGGGGGAAGCCAACCTCCTGTGTTCAAATCAGTCACATAAACTGTGTTTACCTATCAATAATCTGCTTATTCTGTGCCACACTACAACTGTTATTAATTAAAATGAAACATTTAGGTGGAAACACTAATACAGTCACAAAAAAAATGAAATGTTGCAAAATTCAGTCACAAAGAAAACATGTAGTGTCTGGAGCACAATATATACATTTTTACACATGGTTGATACTTGTTTTTCTGTCTCCTTTAAAGTAAATAAATATTGGCAGTCATGTGTGCTGACACACTGTAACATTATTTTTGGGAACTATATATTTTTTTTTATTACACACTCAGTTATTATGAGTATAGAAATGTACAGACGCTTGTTGTCATCAACAAAAAACGCGAATAAAAGAATGAAACATCTAAGGAAATTTATTTTTAAAATATCCTTTATCTGAGGATCGATTCCGCCGCCAAGATGACAGTCATAAAAACCTTCCCAGAAACCTACCCCAACAAAAATAAACCATTACTTTAAAAAACACGTACAAGGAACATTTTTACCTAATAATACATACGTTAAAAAATGTGTCACTAAATACCAGCCTTTGTTATAGTGATAAGCAGGTTTATATAACCATGTTCATGCTTTTTATCTTTAAAGATATCATAAATAGTGAAAAATTAAAGAAATGCGCAGGTACAGACCGAAATGGGGTTCTTAATTATTATTTTATTATTTATATAGCGCAGTCAGATTCCGTAACGCTGTACAATGGTTGGACCTACAGACATGTAATTGTAACCAGACAACTGGACGTACAGGAACAGAGAGGTTGTTTTTTAGCGTAAATATTACTATATATAGGAAGATAGTGAGAAATGACTGTTGCCCATAACCTGCATATTGTCATTATTGTTAGCGGTTACATAGCGCCAACATATTCCCCAGCACTTTACAATTATAAAATGGTAGTTCTAGGTGCCAATCCAGAGCTAGTTGGGATGCTTCACTCTTAACCTGCATCGATATTGGACCAAAACAACTTAACTTCAGTATTTTATGTCCTTCCCGAGTCGATTTTGACACGAGATAAAATATTTCTAAGACCACCCATCATTCAAGTGTGGAATGTATTAACTCATGTCAATCCAGTGATAAGACTATTGCGAAGCAACCCCGTAATACCATCTTGCATCGATCCAGCATTTAGATTGACACGAGGCAATCTATCTCAAGGCTATCAAGAATCGATAATAGCGCAGACCGCCATGTCTTTGCCAGCTTGATAGCTGAAAATTACGTGAATATGGCGTTGCAGCCCAATCACGTTCTGATGTTGCTTGGATGGTGTTAGATGCTAGAGATATTTAAACTCCATAAAGATGAGCCAGCTCTAGGGACCTCATAGCTCAATAACAACTTAATTTCAATGAAGTTGTTATGGTGCCTGGAGTATTCCTTTTAAGCTGAAGACCCCCGCAGCTTGAGTGCAATGAGTACTGGCAAGTAGATGTGCTCAACAACGCAAACTAAAGCAAGGCCAAATTGCCCTCTTTGCCTATCTAATATCCGGGTTACTCTGTATTGAGCATTATCTGGCTGAAGATAAATATGATAAAAGTTAATTGTACAAAGACTTTTTAATCACTAAAGCTATAACATGATATTTTGTGTCTCATCTCTAGTTTGCATTTTAAACTATATTTATTTGTTCCTTTTTGTTTAAATATGTTCAGTTACGTTTACGGTCTTTTATTTATTTTTTTATATATATTTTTTTTTTTTACTATCTTTATTTATAGTTTATGGTTGTTTTTTTAAAACATGAAAAAATACACCTGGAGAGATAAGATATATATTGCACCACCCTATGTGGTATAATATGCATTTGTTCCAAAAAAACTTTCTGCTGGCGATGAAAGGTCGGCAAAGCAAACTTGACAATAGTGACCCTGTGTGCAATTCCAATTATACATCTTTAAAGCATCATTACTTCACCCTGATTTCCACAGTTGTAGGAGGAAGAAAATCAATAATTTTATATTAAAATGCTAATTTTATGGAAGGTTTAATTTGCAAAAACAAGTCATTGCCATCTAGCCCATGCTGGAAAATAAACTAGCTTCATAATTTCACAAAATAAGAATTAAAGAGAAAAATATCTACCATCTTATAATGCTACTTACTGTAAGAAAAATAAGTACTAAATCGTATGGCATTAAGGCAAAAAGAATACTTTAGCAAGACATAAATTAATATTTACCTATGTGCTTTTGTATAAGGAGGAGGTTTCTTTACATTGAATTTTTGTTGTTTATAATTATATCATACATTTTGTTGAATGTAGTATGAGAAAATGCAAATTAGATCTTTTTTGTGACACTGTGCTGGAAAACAGTCATTAATATCTATCTATCGATCTATCTATCTATTTATCTATCTGCCTGTCTGTCTGTCTGTCAATCTATCTCATAGATAGTTGTGGAAACCAAACCGGGGGGGTTCAAACTAATTCTTTAAATAGTCCTTACTGAAATATATAGTAAAAGAACACTCCAATTCATTAACATTCCTTATTTTTTCTGTTCCCTAAGCACACATACACTTTGAATTATCTTAACACGTGGTATGCATACTCCAGGTGGTACATGTACCAAAGGCCAAGAAGGCGTCCAGCTAGGAGCGAATGAAGGTGGAGGCAGTAAGAGAGCTGCACTTAACATGATCTTCAGCACTGCTCCCTCGCGTGCGCCCTGCAATGGTGCTTGAATTTAAATCAATAGAAAATTACTTTCTCGAGACAGAGGTACTTCTTTGTAAAAGGTTGAGAAGCATGTTTGTTGAAATGCTTTAAGTGTGTGCTCCTTTTTTCATTGTACAAAAAGTTCAGATTTCAATACATAGGGTCACTTTTGTAGATTAACCTTGTTACACCCCACTGGCTCTCTCAAAAGTCAGCAGCCCCTGTTACTTCCTGGTTTGACTTTTCATTGCGCTGTATTGGAAGTCTTTGATTGGACAGTCACAGAAAGTCTGGGCGGAATTAGAAGAGGAGGGTTTGCAAAGTAAGCAGACAAGTGATCTGGAGCTTTTGCAAGTTGATTTTAGGTTAAGCCCCAAAAAAAAAAAAAAGCATAATTAATTGCATGTATGTTTCTTTTTGACTATAGGTTTTTATTTGGAGCATTCTTCATATCTGATGCATAATTAAATGCATGCATGTATTTATTTGGAGCATATCAACAAAGCAGAGATTTCTTTGATTTTTTTTTCTATTGGACTGGTGGAGTGTCCAATTCTAGCCCACCTTCAAAAGCCAGAAGATAGTGTATTTAGATATTAATTCAGTAACAGGTACATAGTATTCTGTTTGTGGAATGTGTTTGGGGGATAAAATATATTAAAGAAATGGCATGAATAGCAAAAAAATTAAATGATACCCCTTTGACCAGAGGTTTTCAGCCAGTGTACCATGGTACCCAAGTGGGCCTCAAGCACCCTCAAAGCCATCACTTAGGGGTTATATTAGGTTGCATTCAGTCCTTACATTATTTTATTTTTAATTTATTTCAGTATGAAATCTGAGACAACCTTATGACAATTAAATAAAATGTACATGTTTCCAGAAAATGTAATGGATTTGGCAAAACCCATCCCAGTAGCATGTGTGCAGGAACCTATAGGAGGTGAACTCCTGGGGTGGCTTTTAACATTATATGTTTCACTGCTTAAGAAAAATAATAAAAACAAAAACATGTTAAAAGAGTTGGGTTTTGACCGGGTCACGGTGTGCCAACAGCCTGGACAAGGGGAACACACACAAGAAGATATACTTACCCTGACTCTAGTAGCTTCACCACACATGACATGCCACATCAAAGAAACTACCAGGGTCAAAGCAGAACGTTACCCTCACATGTTACCCGATAACCACACAGGGAAGCTAAGTCAATACACCCCACAAACGAAGGGACACGGTCCTCCCCCAACCACACGGACACACACACACACGCCGACATCTAACGGCTTAGGGTACCCACACGCTACTACACTCACCACCTGAACTCCGGCAAGCGACTGCAGACAGAATTAGGGACCGCCTGACGGCCGTAATCCCGCAACTCAGACATGTTACACGACAAACTGACATTACTTTATCGGAACACAATGTTTTGTGCTCCTCTATCTGTCCACTCGATACTAGTTTTCTTTTGATAGTTTACGTTTTCAAGTTATGAGCCATCTGACTAGGATACCTAGGGACCTTCGTATCTTATTTTATGCCTTGCTCATGAGAATCTAGGCACCTCACAAGACCTAATAATGTAAAGCAGGTCGAAAACCTACGAGTTCCCACCAATCTATTCACATGTTATGCAATAAAAACTGTAACAAATTATCAATATAAATAAAAAAAAGAAAAAAAAAAAAAAAAGAAAAAGAGTGCAACACATGGGACAAAGGTACTCATTATTAGCTGTTTGGAATGCGTGGGACCTGCGAGTCCGCATCGTTCATTGGGGCCTGCGAGCCCAAAAGCAAATACTTTATGTTGTTGTTTCCAGGGACCTGCGAGTCCCATCCCCCCACCCCTTGCCTATTTTTGTTGAAAATACGTTGCAAATACATTAATAAAAATCATATTTAAAAAAAAAAAAAGAGTTGGGTTTTCCTTTCTCTCCATAGACTGCCTGGTGATCATATATAATGTCGCCTGTAGAAAACTGGTTCAGTGTCCCCTAAATGGAGACTGGATTATAATGAAAGGTTTAGAGTCCCCTAAATGGGGACTGGATTATTATGAAAGGTTTAGTGTCCCCTAAATGGGGACTGGATTATCATGAAAGGTTTAGTGTCCCTTAAATGGTGACTGGATTATAATGAAAGGTTTAGTGTCACTTAAATGGTGACTGGATTATAATGAAAGGTTTAGAGTCCCCTAAACGGAGACTGGATTATAATGAAAGGTTTAGTGTCCCTTAAATAGGGACTGGATTATAATGAAAGGTTTAGAGTCGCCTAAATGGGGACTGGATTATTATGAAAGGTTTAGTGTCCCCTAAATGGGGACTGAATTATTATGAAAGGTTTAGTGTCACTTAAATGGTGACTGGATTATAATGAAAGATTTAGTGTCCCCTAAATGGAGACTGGATTATAATAAAAGGTTTAGTGTCCCCTAAATGGGGACTGGATTATAATGAAACGTTTAGTGTACCCTAAATGGAGACTGGATTATAATGAAAGGTTTAGAGTCCCCTAAATGGGGACTGGATTATAATGAGCGATTTAGTGTCCCCTAAATGGGGACTGGATTATAATGAAAGGTTTAGTGTCCCCTGAATGGGGACTGGATTATAATGACAGGTTTAGTGTTCCCTTAATGGGGACTGGATTATAATGAAAAGTTTCGTGTTCCCTAAATGGAGATTGGATTATAATGAAAGGTTTAGAGTCCCCTAAATGGGGACTGGATTATTATGAAAGGTTTAGTGTCCCCTAAATGGGGACTGGATTATAATGAAAGGTTTAGAGTCCCCTAAATGGGAATTGGATTATAATGAACGATTTAGTGTCCCCTAAATGGGGACTCGATTATTGTCACATATTGATCCGCTTATAAAAAATGTGGTTAATAGCATTTACTGTCCACACAGGAAAAGTTGTGCCGAGCAACAACCAAATCCACAGAAGGGTTAATGCTGAGCAGCAATTATGCAAATGGGAACCTGGTAACTGCCTTTGGGGTCAAAGGCCGGTTACAGCCTATCAGACCTAGAGGAGGGGTATTTCGGCCCAGATCTCATCCTGCTCAGTGCCCTGTCGTGGTTTCCCTTGTGGTTGTCCGAGAGCGTGTAATTTATTCTGGTAATTCTGGTTATTTGACTTTGGCATTGTTTTTGACTTCCCTGTTTTCTGGCATCCCTGACTCCTTTCTTTTCCTTATCATTGTGTCTCTTTCTGTTTCCCTTGACCTCAGCTATTCCTGACTATTCTTTGGTACGTTAGTCCGGCCATTCTAAGGTCCAGTATATGTTACCTATCAGTCCACTGTGTTACATAATTCTACGTGCTGGATCATTCTGTAATCCTGACAATTATAACAAAAGGTTTAATGTCCCCTAAATGGGGCCTGGATTATAAGGAAAGGTTAAGTGTCCCCTAAATGGGGCCTGGATTATAATGGAAGACTGTACCCTTCAGATTTTCTTTGGTTCCTAGGCTGATTTGTACACAGGGTCATTCGCTAAAGTGAAAATTGTTGGGATTTCAAAGTGAATCTCAAATTTTATACCTATAAACAGCCTGGAACAATTATCCAAGTCAGCTATGCTTGCAGCCCCGACTATACAAAACATTAAAAGCACTCAAAAGCATAAAAAATACACTGAAGCTGACAGGAACACTCAGCAGACGGATTATCGAACAGAGAGTTCACTGACAGCCCCGGAAAGCTCAGATCTGGCGAGAAATCACGCCGTCCGGACCCGTGGCCTAAAGAGTCTCCCGCTTTATTTGTTGGGAGAGGCAGCCGATCTCTTGACGGTGGATGCACAGTTTAAGGTTAATCCCACATAGACCCGGCACCCCCTTACCCCTCGAGACAGGTGTGGGATATCCCGGTCCCTGGTGGGGAAAGTTACCCACCTGACACATACAGGTCCCAACTCCGGCCTACTATCTGCTATGCAGCCACACGGTGAATCCAAGATGGCTGCCATGCAGAAACAATCCCTTAGACAAATGGACCCAGAAACACAGACCTAGAGAGAAGCCTTCGAAGCTAAATTTTTACAAGATATGCCAAAAATTTTGGAAGCAGATAGAAAGCCAATCGAGGGTACTTACCCCGCCTGCCCCACAGAAGACTCCTGACACCGCACTGGCTCAATGTCCCATGGCCGAACCGGGAGCCCACATGGAGCTGATCCCACAGAGCTGTTCCCACTCCCAAAGGGTGAGCTGATGGCTGAAACCTCCTTCAAAGTCCTCAAATAAGAGAAGAGAGAGCATTGAATCCCTATAAGGCACGGGCTAGATGCAGTGAGCAGACAGGGCTGAAGGGACTGTTCCTACCACTTATGCTGCCAGCTAGCCCATATCACCATCGAGCAATGGAGGTGAAGGAAACAGGCCGGAGAATGGACTATCCATTCAAGCACACCAGTGGCATCGGGTGAAAGCTTGCTGCTGCCTCTATATCAGCCACTAACCTGGTCACAGAGCAGTACTTAATGTGTGCATACACTAATATTCTCTGCTAAATACCCAGTGGTACAAATATTCCTGTGATTTCTTTACTTATTAAAGTGCAGTATCCCAGTTCTTTCTCACTCTCCTTTCTACCTTATGCCTGAAGCACATATGGAACCTCTCTGTTAAGACTTGTGCTCTTAGGCAGTACCTGTGTAACCATAACTACTTTATGCCCACATTGACACCAGTACATATCTCAGATTAATCAGCTAATGACTATCATCGACAGGCATAGCAATCATCTTGTTTTCTTTTTCTTATATACACTGAGCAACATTTCTTACAAGCATGTTATTTATACAAATTGTACAGTCTATACTCATGCCATATTAATGTTTACTTTGAGTTGCTAGTCTTTTGTGGCACTACCGGCATGCATGTACCTGTAATGCACATCAAAAATTAAAAAATTAAAATTTGAAATTCACTTTGAATTCAGTTTGGATGCCTGGCACGTTTTACTTTATTGAATAACCCTAAAAGATATGTGTATAGTCAATGCAGGAATGACAGTACTGCACAACAATTGGGGCCACAGCATAGTGAATGGACCAGATGATAGTCACAGTGTTTTACATCTACTTACATTTCCTGCCTACAGGATCCTGCAAGGAAATCGTCTTGTCTTTTAATTACATGCAAAATGCTAATTCCATAGTTCACATCAGCCAGTTTTTGTAAAGGCCGCTTTGTCTGCTGTAGCTGTTTACATGCAGCTGCAAATGTCCATTTTGCATAAAGTAAGGGGAACATAAAGCAGGCTCGGTGGGTGTCATGCAGTTTAAATGAAACCTTTACTCATTTAAATAAGGTGTGCCTCTTGTAGATGTGATCTATTGTGCACTGTTATACCTTATCTTTTCATTTAAATTACAATGAAACCGTATGTAGTTTTAGGCCTGGGTTCAGGGGAATAGAATGAAATGTGATCCCAAAAATTGAGTGCTCACACCGTTTAGCTTAATTGTGTCTTCCTAACCATATAAATATAGATGGTAATTATTCATTCAGTCGCAGGGATACAATTTATCACCAATTGAGCAATGCTGTAAGAATGCAGTATTAAAGCATTGCTATTTATAATGGCATCACTAACTTATTTTGTTACTGTAAGGATCTATGTAGGGATAGAATTAGGGGGTATTTAAGATTTTACTACTTAAATACTTATTTTATTATTTATTATTACTGACCTTCTTGTCATTGACCATGGTTTGAATTCTACTTTTATTGTGATTAAAGTTTTATTTCAAAAAGATTAGTTGTGGTTTTGTTTTCATTTCTATACAAACATACAGAACAGTTTTTTTCACTAAAGTGGGAATTATGTGAAACTCAGGGTTATTTATCAATGTGTGGATAGTTGAGAATTAAAAAAAAAATTATTTTAAGGGACACTATAGCCACCAAAACAACCAAACAGCGTAATTAAGCAGATTTGGTGTACAGATCATAACCCTGCATTTTCTCTACTTAATTCTCTACCATTTAAAAGTTAAATCACTTTGTTTATACTTCCCTAGTCACACCTCTCTGAATATTACTTGTACAGACTTCCTAAACACTTTCTGTAAAGAGAGATCTAACGTTTAACCCCTTAAGGACCAAACTTCTGGAATAAAAAGGGAATCATGACGTCACACATCATGTGTCCTTAAGGGGTTAAACTTTAGTGTGCATTTTCTTTAATTTAGAAAGTTTTATATACTGGTCTGTTAATGGCCTTTGAGACTCTGCAGGAGCCTCCTTTGTGTGATTAATGTTTAATTTACAGAACGTGAGATAAAATTTTCTCTACATCTGATTGAAAATAAAACCACTTTTTTTCATGGAGGCTGTGTGAGGGGTGGCTACGGCTGCATAAACAGAAACCAAAAGTGATTTAAAGGACCACTATAGTGCCAGGAAAACATAGTTGTTTTCCTGGCACTATAGTGCCCTGAGGGTGCCCCCACACTCAGGGACTCCCTCCCGCCCGTCTCTGGAAAGGGGAAAGGGGCTTAAACTTACCTTTTTCCAGCGCTGGGCGGAGAGCTCTCCTCCTTCTCTCCTCCTCCGTTCCGCCCCGTCGGCTGAATGCGCACGCGCGGCAAGAGCTGCGCGCGCATTCAGCCGGTCACATAGGAAAGCATTCATAATGCTTTCCTATGGACGCTGGTGTGCTCTCACTGTGAAAATCACAGTGAGAAGCACGCAAGCGCCTCTAGTGGCTGTCAATGAGACAGCCGCTAGAGGCTTTGGGGGAAGGCTTAACCCATTAATAAACATAGCAGTTTCTCTGAAACTGCTATGTTTATAAAAAAATGGGTTAACCCTAGAAGGACCTGGCACCCAGACCACTTCATTAAGCTGAAGTGGTCTGGGTGCCTAGAGTGGTCCTTTAAGGAAAAACAGCTTGACTGGAATAATGCTCCAACCAGACTAGTTTTAGTTTAAAATATATAAATCACTTCTTCTAAAATATATAAATCACCCCATCACTTCTTCACAATTCATTATTTATTGAATAACCCCATGTACATTGGTACATATTGTATATTTAGGTCATTCTAAGACATGTTCAATGTTTTATACAACAAATCATGGTGTCCTTTGCTATATTTTAAAGTGTCATGCTGTATTTGCCTGTCCAATATCACATCTGGTTTAAACTATTTTATTTAGTTCTTCATTAGCAAAGCTGTTCAGTCAAAGTGTTTTTGGTATCAGTGTATTCTCACAAGTATTTCAATAGATTGTAAGCTCACGGGCAAGGCCCTCTAACTTTTGTATTGGTCTGTTTATACTGTATTGACTTTTTCCAAATAGTACAGCAATACAGAATATGTAAGCTCTTAATGCCATTAATAATAACAAAGACAGAACATTATCGATGAGTTAAAGGAACACTATAGCATTAGGAATACAAATATGTATTCTTAACGCTATAGAGCCCACTTTAGGTGACTAGGGCCCTCTTCCGCGGCGAATAAATTGTTAATTAACCATTTATTTGCTTAACTTAATCCAGTGCCGGGCTCCCTCGGCACTGGTGACATCTCCTTCTCCATCGACGTCAGCTCCCGAGTAGAGTTGAATGCATGTGGGCCAGAGGCGCGCACATTCAAACCCACCCACAGGAAAGCATTACTTAATTCTTTCCTAGGGGGATCTTTTTTGACGCTGGACTCCATGAGGACGTGCAGCGTCAAATAAGTGAGATTTACTCCGTGTAAATCGCAGGAGGCAGCCTCTAGTGGCTGACAGGGAGACAGCCACTAGAGGCTGGATTAACCCTCAGTGTAAACATAGCAGTTTTTCTGAAACTGCTATGTTTTCAGCTGCAGGGTTAAAACTAGAGGGACCTGGCACTCAGACCACTTCATTGAGCTGAAGTGGTCTGGGTGCCTATAGTGGTCCTTGAAGGGAAGCTCTTCAAATAATGGTTCGATCATTGGCCACCAGAGGCATTAGGAGGTACTTCTTCCACCAGAGACATTAGGAGGTACTGCCACCAGAAACATTAGGAGGTACTGCCACCAGAGGCATTAGGAGCTAGTGAAACCAGAGGCATCACTGGTTTCTGCCACTAGATGCATCTGAAAGCACTGCCACCAGAGGCATTAGAAGGTACTGCCCCAGAGACATCAGAGGATACTGCTGGAAGAGGCATTAGAGGGTACTTCAAAAAGATACATTAGAATGTTCTGCCACAAGAGGAATTAGCCTATGTCAAAACCTGACATAGAGTCTCTGGGGGTAATTCACAGAAAACTCAAATATAGTGAATTCAAGCATACATTTCAGATTATAAAACATAGTAGTCTTATTGGAAACAAAATCTTCAACTCTGCTATAGTTACCACTTGGAAATTTCAGCCTCCATTTTGCAATCTGGATTTTAGTTTGGTGCAATTCAATGTTTAGCAAATAAACCCCTTAATGTTTAGAGATAAACTTGGGATTTAACAATGCCCGCCCTATGCCATCAAAAGTTAAACTGTATTTTAGATTTTGTGTGTGTGCTGTTCCTCTAACTGTATTTTGTATAGATTTTGGTATTTTACGGCAGCACCACTGCTTGGAAATGTATGTTCTGGGTGTGTCCCCAATTCCAATTTTTTCTCTTTGTAGATTTGGATTCCAGACCAGATTCCTTTTGGCTGGAGCACCCCACCCATCCACTACAGGTGCCCATTTGAAGGTGACCACAGGAAAGCTTCAATCGAGGAGTATCTTGAAACAGTTTAAGCAGTTCCGACGTTAAAAATAGTGTAGGACCCACCGGTATCACGGTTCTGCGATGTAGTGGTGGGCTTGATACAATTCCCATTTTTCTATGCCATCAAACCAGGAAACATGGCATCTTTTACATGAATTTTTAAAATGTGGACTTCAAAATGTCTAAGATTATTACAGCAATATGAGCATGACTCTGCGTCCAGATTCAGCCTGGATGAGAATGATGGGAGCAATCGTCCGCAACATCTTGATTGCTGGCACCCCTATACCTAGAGCTCTCTAGAGTTTAAATGTATTTCTGACACTATAGTGTTAAACTAACTATTTAGGTCCCCCGACCCCGTCCTATCACATGAGAAGGATGTTTATACGCACCTTTTCTCCCATGCAAGGCCAGTCTCACTGCTACTGGCTCCACCTCCATGGCTGAAATCCTCAATCTTGATTATCTCAGCCAATCCAATGCTTTCCCATAGGAAAGTATTGGGAGGCTTTTGCGCATGGGCAGCAAACCAGCATCTCAATGGAGACGCTAATTGCCAGTGCTGAACACTGTGCAGTACTAACACAGGAGCACCTCTAGTGGCCACCTGACAGGCTGCCACTCGAGGCGTTACTAGGCAGCAATCTAAACACTGCATTTTCTATGAAAAGGCTGCGTTTAAAGTACTCAGCCTGCAGGGACAGGCTATAGACACCAGAACCACCACATTAAACTGTAATGGTTCTGGTGAATATAGTGTCCCTTTAAACCCTTTTTTCCCTGCTGAATAAGTAAAGTAAATTATGATTAGACTTTCCCAGAGTTCCATAAGTTTTACCTATATATAATAATGTCTGATCAATTACTATATTTTTTCATCTTTTGACATAATATATTTATTTTAAGAATATCATAACCTTTTGCATTGGTAGTGAGTACATACAAATTACATTTTTTTCCCCACAATAAAACCTCATTAATCCCAATATAAGGAAATATTAGGAGGTCTAGTCCAAACCTGGAGTGCCTTGAGACTGCAGGGTACCAACCCAAGCACAAACTCACACAGTGCTAGGGTAACAAAGATGTCTCACAATTCCCTGCTTCCGGGCTCACTCCTGCAGGACAATACCGACAGACCACCCAGCACATCTCTAGTTGTTTTTAATCGTCCTGGTGCTTACAATGGTCTTGTAAGCCTGCAGCTTGCAATCCCTGTGGGCAATCGTCCTGGTGCCCCCTTGCCAGCCTTCTCCTGGGTGTGAGTGTGTCAACATTATTAATTGCTCAGCAGCAGTCATTATCATGTAGATAATCATCAAACAAAGATTTGTGATTGAGAGCAAAATTTGTTTACACAGATTTTATTGCTCTGAATAGAATTGAACCCCCAGTGAGAGCATAATATGTTTAAGTCAAAGAAAATCCAATTACTAGTGTGAACTTTCTGGTAAAATATTTCCTCCCTAAAGAGGCCACCACTTTATTCTAACATAGCACACTTAACCGGTCATGCTAAATAACAATAGCTATCATACTGCCAAATACTTCATGCTCCAAAGCAGAATAGAGTTATGGAAAAATCTGGGATTTCCAAACTTGGCTGGCTGAAAAAGTAGACTAGAAAATATCATGCAAACATTTCTGGGGGCTAATCTGCTATAGACCCATTTCTGATAACTAAATGAGAAAAATAATGCCAAGAGTTACTGTCACTTTAGACGTAATGGCCCACTTGGACAAGATATATTAATTCTGTGCTTCACTTTAAAAAAAATAAAATAAATGTATCTGTGCATGTTAGTAAATGTAGATGTGTAAAAGTGCCCCCTATGTATACTTAAATACCACTTCCTAATAGCTGCCAATACTTGCTGGATGGGTTACCCACTACCCATCCTTTATAGCTGAAAGGCTAACA